TAAACGCCACTCTTTCAAATATAATCCTAAAAAAATATCTGGTAGGCCTGTCAGAGTATGGCAGGTAAGCCTTCTCCTAGTCAGTCATAATTGCTGTACAAAAGCTGAATTTGTAATTTTATCTATTTACTGTAAACCAGAATGCCTTAATTCAATTTAATTATTTTAGTTATTATTTATTTATTATTTATAATATTTTAGTGATATACTTTTAATATATATAGTTTGTTTTACTTTTTATATAATTTTAACTGGTGGCCATGGCTAAGAGTTTGATTGTAAACGTATTTTGACCTCCTTCACACTTATTCTGTAATGTATTAATAATTATTTTATTTTACTATTGTTAAGATTTTTATGTATGTTTTGAGGAGAAAATGAAGATATACTGCACAACATTATTAATAATAATATATGGCATTTATATAATATAGTCTTTAATTTATTGTCTTTTATTTAAGAAATTAGCTTTCAAATATAAGAATACGAGTACAATTATTGTGCTCCCCAAATTACTTTCAAAATAGGCCTACTAATCTATTATTTCCTATATTCTTTTGGCAACATATTAATGAGTTTTGTGGTACAATGAATTTAAATCATCAAAACTATTTTCTTTGATTTGTTATTTATTAAAATTTTATATTTTTTAATTATGTTTTATATATGTTTGGTTGGCAAACTGTATAGGCCTATTAAGTTCAATTTCGTACAACATTAATGCGCTTGATTTTTTTTTATTTGCATAGGGATTTTGGGGTGGCCGCCGTGGAAAAAAGAGTAACGCCAAAGGTACACTTCGAGGCAGCCACGTAATCCGTCATCCTGTAATTTCATTGAACTATCACAATGATATCCCCACGGATCCCATCAAAATCGAAAGAAACCCTTTTCGTCCCTCATCACATCGTTCGTTCTTTAAGATTCATGACGGCATTTCTGGAGAGAATGGAAAGAAGGAAGTTACACGACTACTAGTAAACGAACTACTTCATGGAAGCAGTAACTCTGAATCAAGCAGCAGTGGCAGTGGTAGCTCTATCTCTGGTAGAAGCAGTGGCGAAAGTGGCTCCTCAGAGAGTAACAGCAGTGGATCATCATCCAAAGGAGGTAGCGAGAGCAGTAGTTCTTTCTCAGGTTCATCCTCCAATGGAGGCAGCAACAGTGGCAGATCTGGTTCATTCAGACATAGAGGTAGTGAAAGCCGTGGCTCTTCTGGTTCATCCTCTGAAGGAAGTAGTGAGAGCTTCAGTGCTTCTTCCTCTGATAGAGACAGTGACGAAAGTGGATCCTTTGATACAAATAATTACAATAGTGGTTCAACTTTTGAGGAAGAGAATGGGAGCAGTGGTTCCTTTTCCAGAAGAGGTAGCTCTAGTGAAGACAATGGCTCTTCTGACACAAGCAGTAAAGGCAGCGGATCATTTTTAGATGGAAGTAGCGAGAGTAGCGATTCCTTCTCTGTGGGAAGTCGCAACAGTGGCCGTAGAGGTAGGCACAGAGATGATCATGGCTCCTCTGATGCAGACAGTAAAGGCAGTGGTTCATCCTCTGAGGGAGGTAGTGACAGTAGCAGTTCTAGTGGCGGAAGCTCCGGAAGTTCTTCCAGTAATTCCAGGCATGTAAAAAAAGACATAACAAACCTTCTGGATCACCTTCAGCTCTAAACAAGTAACATACGACACCATGTTACATATTATTTGTTTTATAATCTGCAGCACAATGCACTTAATGCATAAGTGTGCACGATATATACACCGTAAGTGTTATAATCGTCTAAGAAACTTTTGATGTAATCAAGTAATTTTAGGAAACTACGGGCTTTTAAATGTATTTGTTAGAAATAGGAAACAATTAAAGTAATAACATAAATTGTTTGATTTAAATCTGCAGCACAATGTACTTAATGCATCAGCATACCATACACTGTAAGTTATAATATTACAATCGCCTGAGAAGGTTTTGATGTAATCAAATAATTTTAGGCAATTAAAGGCCTAACAGTAATTGTATTTGTTATAAAATTAATTTCAATTTCAATTATGATTGGAAATAAATATATGAAGTGCATAGTAAGAGTGCAGCCTACCTGTGTTTGTATATTAATGTGAGCAGTGGCGAAACAAGTGTGGGGGGGGGGGGGTTGATCTCTTTAGTCGCCAGGCTGGCACCAATATCCTCCCAGACCCTCACCAGGGTTTAACCACACCACAAGACCATGCTGGTTTTTCAGACAGCTTTTACTGTAGCTCTCCAGCTCCCGCCTTCTGGGTTGATAAGTTTTTGAGCTGGAGTGCCCTACTATTATCAACCTTAGCAAACTTAGGTAACATTGTAAAATTTGATGCTTGTACAGTTTATTTGATCAACTTTTTCTAATAGTTAATTGTCAATGAAAATGTTTGGTTTCCAAATGTATATTTTAGAGCCACCACTTGTTGTAAGCATTATTGATGTTGATTTAACAATACAAAGAACATTTAAAATCACAAAAAAAATTACTAAATCTATCTCAACATTATGACACCATTTTAAAAGGAAAACAAACAGAGCCTCATGCTTTTGTTTATACTTATATATTTGTGCATTCAGATTATATCCAATCTCTCGCACTATATTGCAATCAGATTTTACAGAAGTTTGGAATCAAGAAACAACATAAAAATTAAATATGTTTAAAAGCAACTGTAGGTGATACTAAACCCATGATCATCTGTCAAATCCCCTAAAAGTTCAAAATTTTACCACATCATTAAGCATGACGTGAAACACTAAAGCAGCGAACACATTATGTCATGCGATAAGTCACTAATTATAATTGAATATTTTTTGTGCTAATGGAAAATAATTTTGTGCCATGAATCACCATAAAAAAAATATAATAGGCTCTATATTTTCTGTTGCTGTTGTGTGCCACTGTCACACTCTTAATAAATAAATAATTTTTACAATTCCTAACCTCCACATCTTTTTTAAATTTGACACATCCTGGTTCTCTACAACAATCACCTCCCCCACCCAACCATTGATTTATTAATTTTGGTACTTAGCTATAACTCATCAATGAAATAAGTCAGTAAATAGATCAAAGCCAGTAAAGTATGGGTTACTAATTATGATTATGGAGTTTAGAATAGTACAGGATTGGGTTTTATTTACCATTATTAAATGTTGTTGGATGGAATGCAACTCCAATAGGTTTTAAATGGCATTTACAGTAGTTAACTTCAGACAAAATTGAAAAAATCCTATAAATCAAGTAGCATAGTTAAATCTATAGTGAAAATTTACCACAAGATAATAACAATCTACAGTTATTTAAATAGGTCTTTCGCATTTACTTAACTATCAAAGGTTTTTCAATTAGAAAGGCAAGTGCATCATCAAAATGGCTAAACAAAAAGTAAAATATTAGTTTAAACAAATAAAATCCAAATATCTAAATTATCAATAAAACCCTTTCCCATTTGTGATGGTAAAATATATACAGTAGTTTTTAAAAACCTAACACACCTAATAAATATGACTTTCCATATTCTTGAAATTTCTGTTTCATGTGTGTTTGTATCATGGATGAATAATTTAATTTCATATAGGCCTACTATACTGAAGTTCCATAATCATTGCAAAAATTTCAACAATATTCGTCTCTTCTACTTCAAAGTCTGCAAAAGCTTTAATCCTTTATCCAGTGTACTATCCTCCTGCAAGGAATAACATAATGAAGTAAACATTATATGCATTTCATACATTATTTATAATTTATTTATTGAGCCTGTTGACAGAGCTAGCCAGCATAGCTGATAAATTTGGGCCTCGACCAAAATGAATGAAGCAAATAATAATTGTAAAAAACAGTATTTAAATTGTTAATATTCAAAAATAATGGAAGTAAGGGCACAGACAGGTAGACGTTTGATGCAGTACAGATTTGCATCCACACAGGTAACTCACAAAGGATAAATCACCCCATCTTTATGTTGTCCACTGCGTGGATGAGGGCTGAGTTGGTTGAGCTTCTGTTGCTTCTGCACTTCAGATTTAGTTAACTTTTTCACTTATGGTAGCTCCCAGGGAGGAGTATGTGGCGCAGCGTATAAGGTGTCGGACTTCTGATTGTGAGATTGAGAGTTTGAGGCCGGCGCTCGTCGCACTGCTTGTGTCCTTGGGCAAGACACTTTAATTACGTTTGCCTCTCTTTACCCAGGAGTATAAATGGGAGGGTCATGCTGTTAACCTGCTTGTTGGTGACCCTGCTACGACTTTTCCAGTCAAATTAGTAACAGCAACTAGATATCAATTCATATCACACGAAAGAATGAACGAACTCCCAACTAATACTATTTATGAATTTAAATCACCTTGTATTTAAATTTATTATTGAAGTACCTAGTAATGAAATGGTATTTAGCCAATTGTATATTTATTTATTTTTATATTCAACAAATTGTCCAAGAGAAAACCATGGGCCAAGGGCCGAACACAAAATTAGGAACCTCTTGATATAAAACAATATAAAATATGTAAAATGAGAAGAGTAAAACCATGGTTAAGATTTACAATACTTTAAAAATAACTTAAAAAAAATAAAAATTAAATTCATCTCATATCGCTAAAATCTTTAAGATGTGCTGTTATTAATTTTTTGTACATTTTTTTTTATCATTATATAAACTCCTCAGGCTGTCAGGAAGAGAGTTCCAAGATTGGATTAAATGAGTGAAAGCTATACATACCTTAATGAAACATATTCTAATATATTTTTCACCAATATATTTATGGTCATCACTGAAAAATGCACTTGGAGGGATTGTTGCCACGCCCTACAAAAACAATAAACAGTAAAAGGATTCACAATACAGAAAATAATGAAACAACAGAAAATTATCACATATGCTATCACACATTTTCATGCTGGAAAAAAATCATATATATAGAGATTAGATAGTTACAAAAACATCTAGATTTGATAAGTTTCAACATTGGAAAGTTTGACATGAACTTTCAATCTGAACTTCTGGGTAAACTTTGACTGAGAAATAAATGTTAATAAAGTAACTCATTCATTTGAAATAGCATTATTTGACATCAGGGGCGGATTGCTATAAGCGGTCTTTAGACGGTCTTAACGCTTAGCCAGCTATAATCATGACGTCACTACTGGTCCACGATTATAGACCATCCATTGCTATACCGAGGTCTAACCAATTAGCCGTCTTAAATTTTAAAGCCTACTTGGAGGATGCTTAAAATGGTCTTAAATCATTTTCATCATGGCGTTACAGGTACTAGACAGGCCTAGACTGAGAATCCAACAAAGAATATTCCACAAGCGTCTCAGCATCTGTCAAAAGTGGTCTGTGTTTATTTACGTTCATTTTGATACATGTGCATGTGTCGCGCAAGCGTGACGTATGTGTTAAAAGCACCCTCAATTTTATGTTACCAGGAAGTGCTTCTTTGTGTTTCAATACTCAAAGCGGTTTAAGCAAAGATTTTTTTATAGCAATGGTCTTAGCGGAGTGACTTTAGTTCTAAGTGATAAAGCAAGCTTTATTAGAGGAGTTAAGCTACCAATTAAGACCGTTCTATAGCAATCCGCTCCAGGAAAAAAATACAAGTTGCTGCACTTAAAACCCTTCTTATACTGCCTTTTGATTCAATATATTTTTTTATATGTTTTTCATATGTTTAATGTAGAAAAGTACATACCACAGTCCTAGTGAGCCAACGAACAAATTTATAATCCTTTGGAGATGATGTTCCATCTTCAAAATCACCTTCTATAAAGATAAACATTTTTTTTTTTTACTGAAACTATTAAATTGCAAAATGAAAGAGAATAGTTTATATGTGACAAAGACCAGCCAAACCAGTCACTCATCACAAAAATCGATTTTTAGTTATTAATACAGAGTTAACCAGCAAAATGAGAGCTACAAAATGGTAAAAGAATCATTTAAATCCGACATTTCGTTATGAAGTTACAAGCACTTAAACATACAGCTGTTTAAAGAACAATATTTGAGAAATCAGCCTTCAAAGTTTTCGATTTCAGACATTTCTTAGGTAGAAACCATCACCAAATTTTTAAAAATTGTTGTTTTAACATTAAAAATGAGGGAAAAAACAACATAGCATGACATTATACATATATAAAGGTTAGTTTAGTGTAATAAAATAGATTTCAAAAATTTTGATATTCTAGCATGTTTTGGCCATTATCTCCAAAGCAGGATGTGAGATGAGTGACTGGTTTGGCTGGTCTTTGCCACATATATTAATATTATATATTTTATTTTAAATCATATTTCAAGAGAGTAAGCAATCCAGTAGTATCAATGAATGTCAAAGGCCGCCAATGGCAAAGATGTTTGTAATAAACAATACCATTATCATAATTACTGACATTTGATAAAGTGTCTTTTGATTACATTTTTTGCTATATAAGGACTGCCATTCCAAAACTATCATAAAATAATCCTTACCGATCTTGGATATGTCAGCAATGACAAAATAGCCTCCATCCGGTACAATTGGCTCCAATCCTATATCCTTCAAAACTCTGCATACTTTGTTGCGTTTTTCTTCTAGCTCTTCAGCTAGCGATGATAAATAGCAATCTGGTTGATTGAGTCTAGCAAACTCTGTTTCTAAACCAATAGCTACTGCCTCCTTCATTATGAAAAGTCAATTTTATATTAAATTAGTTTGTATACAAGATACAGGATACAGTATTATTGTGTTCCAAGAAAAGAAATTTTTCATTTGAAGACTCTAAAAACTGTAACAGTAAATGTTGACTTTTCATTTCAAGATAATGCTCTTTGAAATTGTATTGTGACAAATACAATTAGGAAAGGGCGCTCTTTATTGGGAACTGCTGGGGACCTCCTGTGGGCACCAGCATGCTTATCATGTCCATGTACCGTGGTGCAACGTATTTAGAGTAAATTACGATTTAGAATACATACTGAAAATACAATTCTTCCAGTATTTACATTTGATGCATTTGATGCTGCTTAAGTATCCCCCACCGGAAGCCACCAGCTATAGTGTTTGCAGAGGAAGAATAATCACCGTACACTGATCGGTCTCTAGACAGATAAAAGTGTATAAAATACTAACTTTAACTCCCTAAAGAAAAGAATAGTATAAATTTCATAGTTTGGCTCATAAAGGTTGTCCAGACCCCTTTGGATTTGGAGGTCATTCCAATGCCCCAAACCCTACTATTATCCTGTATACATTCCCTTTATTACCTGTAGTGGTGTTGGACAGCAATATATGGAGTGCTGGTGTACCACACGTAATCCATTGATTAAGTTCTCCGGACCAATACTCCATCCAAGCTGTATAAATCAATAATAAATATTATATTATTCTTAGCCCTCTATAAAGGCTTAATTTTTGTTTACGTTCATTGAGAATTAGAAAGACAAGTTCACCAGCAAAGCAATACAGGAATAAAATATAAATTTCTCAACAGCATAGTGAAGTGGCTAAAATACTGAAGCTATTTTCTTACCTTCCAACCTGTAGCACTAAATGTCTTTCCTGCACTTCCTACGGTAATTGTTCGCTCCCACATTCCTGGGTAAGTGGCTAAAAAATAGGAAATATATATATTTGGATCTATTTCTCTTATTTGAATCAACAAAAACTCAATTATAGGTATGATATTTACCGATTCTTTCATGTTTGTTTCCAGTGTATATCATCCATTCATAGACTTCATCACTGAGACAGATCACATCATGTTTCTTACACAATTCAGCAATCATTGTTAACTCATCCTTTGTAAAAACCTGTAAAAGAAGGATAAAATATAAATTTTTTTTTTTAATCTGATTAATTTCATACGTAATTAAATTCAATTTTTACTGTCACATTCAACAGGAAGTACACTCGTTGATAATAACAATGACAATAATCAGGGGGTCCGTGGTCAGTAAATGATGGTAATCAAAATAAAACTACAACTAAATGATTATTAATGTTATCATAAGCGACAAGAATACAGTACCTCCCACAAGACTCTTAACCCTACCAACTCACCCACACACAAACCTTCATATACACCTACATACATACGCCATATATACACACATGTATTCAAGATGGCTATATTTGATCATTACCTTGCCTAGTGGATTGTTGGGGTTATTTACAATAATCATTTTAGTCTTGTCGTTGAACATAGCATCTAGTTCTTTAGGGTCCAGAACCCAGTCTTTTGTGCTTGTAGCATTTTCTTTCTAAGTAGGAAGCAAAAAATATAAAAACACAATCAGGCATTCCATACATTTCTCTACCAAATATCGTAAATGCACACCAACATTCTTTTGTGAAGAGCCCTACTCAAACAGTGATTAAGTTCACTTTTGGGGTGTTCTGTCTCATATATGTTTGTGCTTGTTCTTTGCTGTTTCTTTTATTGTCAATTTTAATATTTTGAGACAAATAAATGAAATGAAATGAAATGGAACATACAAATAAATTGACACAATGCACTTTATATACATTTTAAAATCTAGATTGTGACTCTACCCTATCACTGTGTTAACCATGAACAACACTGAAATGAGTACAAGACTTGAATTAAATAATATATTTCATAGGTTTCACTACAAACATTACAGAAATTACTGTGTTATTCTGGTGTTTAAGCCCTCAACACTTTTCCATTGTGGGCCAAAACAAAATTGATGTCGGGCAGCATGTGGTCTGCGGGCCCCACTTTGCCCACCTGTAGACTACAATATAACCTCTCAAAGACTTTGAACTACCGTAGGTAACGGAATGAGGACTGGACCTGGGAAAAGGAACTGTGCGACAGCGGGGGGAGGGGGCAGGGTGGGCATTTGTCCCCCTGTCGGACAGGCCTGGACCCCCCAGTTTTTATTCTGGGCCGTCGACTGAAGCCTTGTTGACCCCTTGGCTCGGACCCCTTGTCGTCAAATTTCTGCCGCCACCGCTGGTTTCTGTATGATCAGTGGGTTATTTAGAGTCCTGAGATTAAAGGGTGATGGGGATGCGAAGGTGGAGTTGGGGCCCAATGATTAGGTAAGGGGAGCAAGCTCGCAAAATATGGTGATTAGATGAGAATTTTAACTACTTGAGATTTTTGGGGGTGACTGGTGAAATTATGCCCTAATATATTTTTGGGGGAATGCACCTCACCCCACACCCCCTAGATAAGCCACAGTGTATGATGCACTATACAAGACCAACACAAAGTGATACTTACTGGTTTCAGAGGAATATACTTTGGCACTGCACCAGCCAATAACACCATTGGTTGATAGCAATCAAAGAATGGCTCAATGATGATAACCTATATACAAGGACATAATATGCTAATAAAAATTAACTGATCGAAATATATTTATTTTAAATGTCAAACTTTATGTTCTGTGCTTTACAATTCATGGGCAATCATTATCATGCTGCAGCTATATGAAACCTCTCTTACTTTATTTGTCTCCCACATTGCATGTGGTCTCAAATTGCAGGAAAACGGTGCGG